CCTTTCAGTCTTCAGGATAAAATATATGACTGTTAAAAAATAATAACATTTCTATGTCTTTTTTCAGATTAGATTATAGTATCTCAAGTATGCAGCATCAAGTTAAAATTTAAATGAATACAAACAGAGCCTTTCTTTTATGATAAACTAAAGCTTTTCTTGTATAAATCATCAGAACAGAGAAAAGCAGGTTGCCACGAACAAGAGCCCAATATTGATTTTTCTGTGGTGCAGTGCTATTTGGCTGCTGTCAAAGCCACTCTGCACCAGCTGGAGTCAAATTGCACTATTTACAGCAAGAGCCCTTGTCAAGTGGACCATAAGTATTCTAACAATACACTATTCAAATGGCATCTTGCCGTATAAATCACCAGTTTGATGAATATCCTATGTCCACAACAAAAGCTTATCCAAAGTTTTCATCTTTATAATGTGTTTGGAGCATGCATGTCTTTGCCTGGTCAGCAGAACAATCCCTTTGGCTTTTAAAGTAACAAAATGCTTTTTATGCCTGCAAACTTTCCATAATTAACATGCACGCTGTGTCAACTGCATTTGTCACACAAGACCAAAAAGAACTCCTCTGTCACCAGCGCTCTGCCCGGCACGTGCAGTACAATAAGGCAAACTAAACTGCCAGAGCAGCATGAAATCAAAGCATTCTTCCTTTGTACTTCTGATTTATTTCACGACAAATGATTCCTTACTGGAAAGTCTTTGAAGCCATCACCAGTGATAATAGTCTTACAGACTCTAAATGAAAGGCATTCTGCAACATGAACAAACGTACAGCATGCAGAAGCAATAATAAAAAAAAAAACATTAAAATTTCAGTTTGAACAAACATCACCAGTAAACATTCAACTAGCTGAAGTCCAACATTAATTATAAATGATCGCTTTAAAAAATCTAAGTAAATCTAACATAAAATCTCTTAACCACAAATAAAGGAAAACATGATCAACTTATTTTATATTTATAATATTTATTTTAGAATTTATGTTAGATTTACTTTCACTGAGGGGTTTTGGCAATGTTTTGACATGAAATTGACATGTCTGTGACTACTCTACAGAGAGTTCTAATTTTATGGCATTGTTTTAATTTAAACAATACAAACATTCACATTATCTATAACATTTTTCATCATATGCAGATGTTTATAAAAAAATGTTTTTGACAATGACTTTCATAACAACATATTTAACAATTGTACCAGAAGACTTTAAATTTGAACCATTAAAATAATCTTAACTGAAAAAGTACTATTCAAACTAAAACACAGCTAATTACATTAACTTTGGCCAAAACATCAACAATAAAATTGAGTTCACACATTTATTTATTTTTTTCTATTTGTACTTTTCACTTCAGGTCATAGCTAGTTGGATTCCTTAATATGAGTTATTCTAATTATTTTAAACAATGTATACTTAATAAAACTTAATATTTTAAATATATAATTATAATGAATACTTTTATGTACTAATTCACTTAAAATACATTTGAAAATGCTTCTAGTATTTAAGAACTTAAATGATGTTCTTGTGGGAATTACAACCCTTTTAAATAAATCCAGACAATTTAAGCACATTGTAGTGTTGGCTTTCAAATTTTATAGACGTGGAACTGTATCATTAAAAACAGATATTAAACAAAAATATTTATATGGATTCAGGTACCATAACACTTAGTACATGGACAATAACACTTATTACATAAATGTGCTTTAATGGAGCATCATAACTGTAATCCGAATCACAACTTTAATATAACTTTCGTCATGACAAGAACTGATCTCTTTTCACAAAGCTAATTGCAAAATTAATATGAAATCAAGCCATGGCAAGAGATAACAGGACATTTACATATTGAAATGCTTCCACACGTGCACTCACACATTGAATCTCATTGTGGCTATGTACAGTACCTAGCATTGCTCTGGATGCACACTACAATCAATTTTGTTAACTATCTAGGGAGAAATAAGCTTTGCTGATAAGGTAATAGTGGGATCAAATTTTGTGTCAGTGCCCTATCAGAGCACCATCTGCCTTCCAAGATGCTTAGCAGGATAATGCCCCAGTAATAATTTTTAACAAATGGCTCCAGCATGAGTGAGGTCATTGCGAGATTAATGATGAATATGTTATTGGGACTCTGGAACTGGAATATTGTTTGTTAGGTTTTGAAAGTTTTGCTGACAAATAATTTCACACCATGCAAATATCGAATAAAATAAAAGTGGAAGTCGGTAAAAAAATATTTCTAGTGCAGCAGACAATAATGAAATAGTTTCGTAATATTCTTCAGACACCTTGATGTGATGTGCTGCAATTTGAACATTTTCTGTATTTCTGTTTTTATGGTGTGATTTGAAAAAAACAATTTTCCACGTATTAAAGATATTGTAATAAAATGCAAACCAACAAATGCAGCTTATATACTATTATGAAATTGCTTTTCAATGTTCAAAGTTTGCAAACATCTGCAATATTTTTGGTTTTGGGTTGTCACAAAAAATACGTCGTGATTTAGGGCACAGAGAATCTCAAATTCTTGCAGAATGATTTTTCCTTCTGTTGCATAAACAAATAAATACTAGCATTCCATTAATGTCTTCACATTATTTACAAATTGACTGCTGAATTTTTGTCCTTTTAACTTGGCTCTTCAAACCAGTGCAACAAAATGACCAAGCATTTAAACTCATGCTTGGAAAACATTTTAAAGTTTTAACAATAATATTTTAAAATACAAACCAATGTGTTTAGCAAAGTGAAAATAAAATAAAATGGCTTTTCAAAGGCTCTTTGCATTTTTTCCTTTAGAAATGAATATTACTTTATCCTAATAAGTTGCAGTATTGATTATTATAACAACCAGCATTCAAGCCCTTAAAGCCAGAGCAATTAAATCCTGAAACGTTACCTTTTTAAGATGACAAATTTTCCTGTAATATACGTTCTTCTTATTATTACAAAAAATAATATTGCTAAACTACTTGCTCATTGTTAAAATAAATACATACAGTACATCTTCATTTCTGAAAACATCATAGGTCAGGCCAATCTTGTAAATGGTAAATAGAGGTAAATACAAGGCTGAGCTATAGCATAAGGCTCACAAAATTGTTAACCTCTTTCATAATAATAGCAAAGAGCAGGGCTTCATTGTCTAAAGCTATAGGCTTTGACAGGGATATTGACCGATTATCTGAAGTTAAATGACTCTTTAAGGTGTTAAAAAATATGAATAGTACGTATAGACATGAGGGACTTTGTAGGAAAAAATATTGAAAATTCTGATTTAATTACACAGCAGGAATTTTCCATTATTGTTCTTTTGATACTCTAGATTAGACATACAGTATACTGCACGTCATGTACAGTAAGTGTTTCTTTTTCTTTGTCAAGAATGCAGAATAAGCCATAAAAACCCATGAAGATGACTGGAAAAAGTGTCAGAACTGTGTTCCCCAGGTTAGTGTAGTATAAAAATTAAGCTTCCATTTTGAAATGATTTAAAATAGTTTTCAACATGTATTATTTAATACAGTTATTAAAATTTTTTTGGCTTTTTCGTGTTAAAAATTTGACAAACTCATACAGTTACCATCAAACAAAGGAAACTATGATATTTAAACTAATTTTGATAATAATTTTACTTTACATTAGCAAGTAAAATCTTCACATACCATCACCAGACTGAGGAATAATGTTGGAAATAATGCAACAAAAACAATGATAATGATAATAATAATTATAATTACAGGACACAAATGTATACAGATAAAAAAGACAAACATTTTAAGAGCAGGAAATAGTAATATGGAGACTATCTGAATGATACAAAGAGTGGATCAGAGAAAAGAGTTAGTGGTGAACAAATACTGTACATGAAAGCTTTTAAAATAGTTTTTTTATACTTGTGTCTTACCACACTTTGTCACCAGCAATTTGTAGTACAATTTAATTATTTTGAGATTCCCAATTAATACAATTCATGATATACAGTAGCACAGACAAATCTATAAGTGATCGATATCCAAATTTTAGCATAAAACTAGTGTGCTGTATATACAGTATAATTAAATTGGATCTGCAATCATTGGAGATATATTTTATAAAATGTATTACTTACAGAATAATGTGAGAAATTCAGGAAAAATACTGTATTTTATTTCATTTGAATTCTCTCTGGAAAATTCACAATGAAGGGAAACTGAGCAGTTTGTGGACTTGGATATTTTACCAGTTAAAAGGGGACATTGTTTTAGTTTGTGAAAGCATAAAACACAATCTATATATTTATGGTTTTATGACAGGTACTGCTGCTATGTTGTTATTATGCAACTACCTGTACAAACAAAGAGCTGCAGTAAGTATAAAAGTTATAAATGTACAATAATAATGTCAACCAGAAATGGCCAGTAGAGAATTTTGGGTCGGCCCCTTAAGAACAGGTGGAAACAATGAAATTAAATGTAAATAAAATGCTCCATAAATAATCAGAATTCTTCAGAATTCTTAAGAATGTCCACATAATAATTAATAGCCAGATCCAAGGCTCATATAACACTATAAATTATGGTAATCTTGTTCAGAGCACATTCATCCATTTACCAATATTCACACGTGAATCAATTCCACAACTTTCTTACATACAGTAACTCCACAGTGATGGTGCACTATTGTGCAATGCACAAGTGGCCAAAATCTTTATTCTGCATTGCAGTATTAGGATCTACATACCGAAAGGACACAGGCTCCGGCACTGGGTTTTTTCAGAAACCACAAGAAAATAATATTGATCTGCATCAGTGCCTCATGCTGCTGTTCAGCCCTTTGAAAAACACATGCCTGAGTGTACAGTATGTGTTGATGTTTTGCTCAGTTGCATCCCTTATTATTACTTATTATGCATCCCTTATTATTACTGCATCCCTTAATCATGCAAATGAAACTAAATTGATTACGTGGACAAAGTATTGTACCTACCTTATCAAGATCAGTATCAGCATGTTTGCAGTTTGCAGCTGGTGTTTCTGGTTGAGATAGAGCTGCAGGGTTATGATCCTCAGGATGTGCTTTATGCAGACGGCTAGGCCTGGCTGCTGTAGGTACAGGAACCCCTGTATCAATTAGCAATGCCTGGGATTCATCACAGGAGCTGAGGATGGTCTTGGCTACTTCTCCCGTTTCGTGTCGATCAAGAGTACCTGAGCAAAAGTATGAAACACGCAAGAACTGAAGCTTTTGTTTTAAGAGGGGCAAATTTCTTTTATATTGGCAGCAACACGTCAAATGTGAATGTGACTTGCAGGTGAAAATGTTCAAATCATTTAAAATGAATTTTAAATTAAAAATTATAGCACTAATAACATGCATTAATTTTATTTCCTATACCACGTGCATATTGTATACTGTCATTCATACATTTGTTTGTTTTAAGGAAAAATACAGGTCTTAAAAGTAAAAGCAGTTGTCCAGACTTTTCCAGATGTAGACATGTCACAACACAACATGTGTATGTACATCCAAATTACTTTACTCCTAATGACAGAACTAAATTTACAATAAAATAAATCAGACAAAATGCAAAGACAACCTTCTACAATGTTTATCCATGTAACTTACAAAAACAAGAGAACATGGACATAAAATAGCTATGACAAAACAGTCTTTAGAAGCAGACAGGGAGACAACGGGGTTTGACCCACATGAAAGAAACAACTAAATCATAAAATGAACAAAATGACAATGTAGCTGCAGGCCTGTGCTTTAACTAAAGAGTGAGGAAGCTGAATCAAAGTGCTTGAAAGTTCTTCCCGCTAATCTGAACAGGTATGAAAATGAAACTGCCAAAGCATCCAGATTCCATTCAAACTTGTGTGGCTGTTCTCATACAGGATCTAGAGGGAGCAGAGGAAGTACAGTTGGCTGCCGGGGAGTTTAGTGTTACCTCTCTGACATTTAAAATTCAGTAAATAATATTGGAATCAAAATACTCTAAATAATGTAAAGGTCACAAGGGGATGAGCACAATAGTTATGAAGGCCACCAGGGATTTTCAGATTTCTGACCAATGTCGTGTTTTTCAATTAATACAGACCAAACTATTTATGTTGTACATTTTGGTTTACAGATGTAAAAAAAAATCTTTCCTTCTAAATGTTCTACTTCAGCTTTCTTTTCTCTTGACCAAACATAAAAAAATCATTTGAGTGACTTTTTATTTAATAAAAATATTAAAATCCCAGACTCACGTCAATAGCCTTTTCATCTACACTGCTAATGATGAAAAATGTCAGTAACTTCAAAGGTTTTACTGAAATCACATTCACTTTGTACGGCTCTTTATATTTTATGAAAGATGCTCTTTGCTCCAGCCAGAGACCCATAAAGATTTGAACTGTAGTGGATTGTAAACCTCTTACAGGTTTTTGAACGTCTATAAGAGTTTCTAACTGCTGTGAAATGAGATAATTAACCTGCATTTTAATCGTCTGTGCTCTGTTTGCTGGCCTCAAATGTCACATACAACATACTGTACAGCAGCCTTTACATTGAATCCTTTAATTAACAAAAAGACAACAATTAAATTGAACTGATGTAAAAATGTTGCATATATCTTCAATGGGATTTCTATTTTTTACGAATTATGCCAACTAACATAATGCTGATCAACCACATGTTTCCTTTCCCAGAAATACAACACTTACAGCTCTCTGTAATTGTCCATATTACATACACTGCACCTTTATCTCAAGTTAAACATTTATTTCACTTTACATTGGGGCTTGTGAAACACGATGGTAATTTTATTACCAAATCAATCAATACTAACATTAGAAAGGAAGTGAGTATTGTCACATGACACCCCAGGGTAGTAGTTACTTTTTGATACAGATGTGTCCATTCTGCATTTCCCATTTTAAAATACTTAGAGGGTTATAGGTGGTCACCTGACCCTGCCTGTCCACCATGATTGACATTTATTTGTGCTTATTCTAAGAGTACATTATTATTCAGCAAAACTATTGAGGGTGGAACTTCCACAAGTCTGGGGAAAAAAAAGTATATCAGGTGGTTAATAAACAAGTACATACTGTATAATTGATTGCATTTCTGCCATCTTCACTCTGTTTTTTTATTCAATTGTTCTTTTGATTATTCAAAATGTTATCTAGATGCAAGTATGTTTATATTGGTTTTGGGAGGTGGGTTGGAGGGAGAAGGCCTTTTCTGGCACTACGTTATTAATTGGAAAATAAAAGGTCAAAATTGTGCCATAACATTGAAAATGAGGGCAGCATAGCATAGTTGATAGGCCTTTGGTCCTGTAATTGGTTGATTGTGGGCTCCACTCCCCACTGATAGCATTCTGTTGTATCCAGAGAGATTCCTCCAGTCTGCCCAGTTGGAAGAGGGGGACCAGCACTGGTGGGGGATAATCCCTCCTATGGACTGGTGTTCCATCCAGTTGGGTCTCATGATCGATCCACTTTTCACCATGGACAATAAAATTAATTCTGGCCCTGTGAGCTGATGTGGCTTGGATATGGAAATTACCTACTGTGGCAAAAACTACAACATTTTCTCAGTTGTCAAATTCTTTAAAACAGCTCAAAAGGTGATGCTGCATTTTTAAAACTATCTAGGACAGGACCATGGAGAGCCCAAAGACCCATCACTATTCTGCCTTCTTAAACAGCTACTGGTCTGTATCACAATCACACCATCATACCAAGTGAGGGTGCTGCAATGAAGACTGAGATGCTCAAGTAACTCTAAAGAAAAAGCTTGTTTTATTTAAAAACCTTTGAAAAGTATTAAAGGTTGAAAAATTAACAAGTGTACAGCTTCTGCATATTGTATGAGGAGCTGTTGAAAGGTTACAGAATAAATAATATTTTTCATACTATGGCTCTCATCTGTAGGTAATCAATTTAATAACTGAAAGAAGATGATTCAAGTCGATTCTTGAAAAAGCATCTTGAATACTATTACTTCAGTTAGCTGCATTCATGCCCCACAACTGTATGATCCGATGAAAGACATTTCAAGCTTTGTCACATATGCTAAAACACTTTTTAAATAATCTTGACCCTCTCTTGCAGCATTGCCACCTCAGAACTCTTGTGTCCCAGGTTCAATTTCAGCCTGGGGATCCGGGATTTCATGGATTACATGGATGTCTTGTAGTTGCTCTGTTCTTTTTTCTACCTCCCAAAAACAAACTGACTATGTCAATTGAACTATGTCATGATCAGGATGTAGTTCCTGCTGTCCTTCTGGGATAGACCCTGGGGTACTGCTACTGGTACTAGGCATAACTGGCTTTTTGATGATGAACGTTATTCTCTTTTTTGATCCAAACCATATGAGCACTTAGTCTAGGTTATCTCTATGATGCTGTTGTGTAATTATCTAAAACAATATTATACTGCATCAATTTAAGAAGAACACAACATATTTTTTTGTTAAAAATAGTGCTACAAAACTGCAACCGAAGGAAGACACACTGGGTCAGTCAATCAGTCAGTTATTGTGACTGGTCACTTGCCCTGTTGGAATGGCTGTCATTTGTCATCAGCTGCAGATGAAGTCCATTGTCAGACTAGAAGAATAATACTGATTGACCTAGAGTGCCCTTTTAAATGAAATCCATTTGCCTTCTGCATCTAAGTTCAAAAAACATTTTAGATTACTTAGTCTCAATACCCACAAAGGTAGCATAACTAGTTAAATAGTCAAGCACTCTAAAGAACAGAAAATGATAAAAGGAAGCCAGATTGGATAATTTAATATTTAAGATTAAGTATCTATATTGCATTAAAAATTCTTTACACTTTGGGACCTATTTTTGCTTTTCTCCAGTCCCTACATGGAAACATGGGATCCTAAACAGATTAATAAGCTCTTAATGAGTTTTACATGCGGCCAAACCTTCAGGCTATGAAAAATGCATTTAAAGATGGCAGTGACCACTACGACCTTGACCCCAGCTTCACTATAGCCTCCAGCACATAAATGGCAATGGCAGGATTTATCAGCTGGGCCACACTCACCCACTCAAAATATAATTCTGACCGCTGACCTGGAGATGGGCGGAGAGGGATCAGCTGATAGAGACTGTAAATCACTAAAATTTGCAAGGACAAAGGGGTCAAAGTGATGAAATTACATTTCTGAAACTATAATAATCCTGCAACCCCCCAAAAAACGGCATTCCGTTGATTGTTTCTAATAAGGTTATAATGCATTCCCTTATTTTTTTGTTTTACCTTTGAAGGAAGAATGTTTGTAAATTACAGTGGTGGAATCACATTCAAAGTACATTCAGACTGAAGATGCCACTATTTGTGGTGTCCCAAACCCGATGTTAAGAAAAAAAAAACAGGAAGAGCTCATAGGACACCTCTTCTCTTAATAAGGTAACGCACTCTCACGTAATGTTCAGACTACTATTATTTATATGGCTAGTTTACCCACAAGGAGAAGTACAGTATGTTCACATTTTATTTTAATGTCTAAGCTCAATTTAGTGATAATAGTTCAAATGGAAGGTTCCAGGTGAAATAAGCCACTCATCTGAACTGTAGTACACAAAATATTTTTCCATAATGAAGGAAAATGTTAACTGTTTTAGAAGAGAAGAAAAGTATGAAGTCAACATGCAACAAAGCTTACCATCCCTAGAGTTTAAAATAGTAATAATATTGCACTTCAAACAATTCAAAAGATTAGAGTGTTCTGAGAAAACACCCATAATTCACTCTGGTGCTTAAAAAGAAATTTCAATGCTGCGTTTTTCGATTCCTCCCACAGCTTGATACATGAATGGGTTAAAAACGTGCGCTGATAAATAAAGAATACAATCGATGACACTCAGAAGGCTTTCCTTGGCCCTGTATAAAAATCAGGCAACCCAAACAACACTTGTTTAGTTTGAACTAAGTGATTTCCTCATGGCTGGGTGCAATGCATAGAGGTTGGCAATAAATCATATGTTGCTATTGATTAACTTACACAGCTTTATGGTAAGATGTTGTAAATGTCATGTTTTAACTTGATGGTGTTTGATATAAATACAATTACAGTATTTGCTCAGGTAAAGGGATTATGTATTACAAATAGAATTCAGCAATTAACAATTATTCAGCAATTAAGCAATTATTTATAGGCCATCATCTATTTGGCGATTTACCTTGAACAA